TTGCAATTTCCTGAATGCTAAGGCATTAGGAAATCTGTAGATGGAGAGAAACATTTTGTGTAAAATATTATCATTTGCTTCATGCAAGCCTGTCTGTTACATGTTTTCTTTAACAGGATGAGCACTAAAAGTAAGGTTCAGAAGACGGGTCTTACATTTTTAATCCTTCATGAAGGAAGGTGTGATGGGAATTACAGTGTGATGGGAATTACAGCATAACAACTTTCTGTTTTGTTTTTCTTATACCAAGAGGCGGGAAAAAAAAAAAAAGGCCTGATAAGAATGTAGCCCCCAGGTATCTTTAACTGAAAATTGATCCTGGTATAGCATAAGAAGGAAAATAAATCAAAATTCAGTAAATGCAGGTATGAGCATCTCTTAAAGACTTTTTCGACAATATATAGACTAATCAGAAAGCTTTTACCTCTAGTTGGTATGAAATTCCAGCTCTTAATATTGTATTGTCATTGGATGCCAGTATGGCAAATTTTGCCATAGTATTAAGTATGAAGTATTAAGTATTAAGATGAATTCCCTTCATTTTTTTCTCAGTCTTCAGAGTTTTATTTGAAATGGGATTGCGAAGACTGATACAACAGTAGATTTTTTTCCCTTTCTGATAGCCTAGGAGATGGTAATAGGTATGGGATCCTCCAGAGGGACATTGGAGAAATGGATTGAAACATAAATGTGAAAATTCTTGCACCCTGCCTTGGAGATTGAGCGCAGGCAGCCTCAGAGGTCACCTGAAAGGAGTTTCGCTACTGTAAAGCTGGAATGTTGATGGCTTAGAGATGTACAGGCCAGGATGTCTAAAGTACCTCAGGTTTTCTGCAGGTGTTCTGATCAGTTTTTGAAATTGGAGAACTGTAATGCAGCCAGAATAGAAAGGACTTGGTTAATGGAAAGTGTTAGCTTGTTTATTTTTGTGGAGAAATGCTATTATGCTTAAATATAAAACATTATCTGTTAAAATTCTAGGGGAAAAATTATAATTCTGATGATATTTTAAATTTATCTCAATTTTTCGTGGCTTTTTTTTGGTGTGAGGAATTCTTAAATTTCATAGCTATAATCTAGATTTGGATTTGAATGCTAGTATTAGTTGAAAAAGAAATAAAGGTAGACTGAGGAAATCCTGGTTGTGATAAAGGATATGAATTTAAAGTTAATCTTTTTTGGTCATTTTACTGTTAATTTTTATTTCAAGTGAGTTTAGTCTTTGTCTGAAATGCATATTATCCTGAAGCAGGAGCTTTTTTGTCATTGTTAGTATAAAACATTAGGTAGATTGTCTATGAATTTTCATGTGTGTATTCCATTTCAAGAGTTCAGTAGCTCTTTTTGTAATGCCTGCTTTAACTTGTTTATTATTTGTTTCCTTTATCTTCACAAAGTATTTCATAGACCTGTTTAACAGAATAAGAATAGAACAAAGGTGAATGTATTTAAATTGGATCTACGTTTTCTTCAGGCAGTAGAAAACTCTTTACTATAACAAGTTTTTATTGTAATTGCATCTCTGATTACCATGATGATACTATAAATAGTTGTATTTAGGAAATTGTGATACACAGCACAGACGGAATTTAATTTCTGTGGAAACTGCTTATCTTCTCTCTCTTTTTCTCTTCCCATCTTCCTTCTCTGCTGTCCCCTTCTGCATTTCCTTCCCCGCCAACTAAACAGAGTAAAGATGGTGACGTTTTAAATGTCAATTGCCATCAAGATTTTTTAAGGCAAATTTGTGTGATTATATGCCTGGCGCAGGGAAGATTATTGAAGTTAGTGTGTGCTTAGTGCCATCTAATATGTAGCCAATTTGCATGTTGCCGAAGCCTAGAGATGTCTCCTGAACGAATAAGGTTACTCCTTATCCTCATCTCTCACTTCCTCATCATCTCTGGTGTGTCTTTTTAACAAGACTAATAATACGAGTACAGCAGTTTGAAGGAACTGAAGAGCTTAGTGAAGGATAATAGGATGTAGTGCTTTTTGCTGTCGTATCGCTTGTTCCAATCAAGCCTGGGCTGATAATGTAGAAGCTGAAGATAGTTGCCATCAAAGAGCTGTCAGGTCGTGTCAGTCCAATTACACCTGCAGCGCCGTACCTGGTACCCGGGTCAGTGGCTTTATTAGCAAGGCCAGAAATGTGGAGACCTCGCTGCTCCCCGACCCCGCGTGGGTGCTTGTGAAACAAGCAGGTGGGAAGCGCCTGCTCCTGTCAACTGTGCGCAGCAGTTGAGTACTATGGGTGATGTTCTGGTCCCTTTCATTCACCTGGGTGTATTTAATAAATAATTGATCAGAAGTCGGGACCCCTCTTCTCACCCACCAAAACCAGAGCTCTGCAGTTCCTAACGCAGATCGCGCTAAAGCATAACTGCTTCGCGGCAGCCATCAGAAGGTCATTTCTTGGTCCCTTTCCCCTTCCTTTTCTAGCACCTTGGCTCTCCAGCCCTTTCCCCCCCTCCTCATTAGGCTGTGGAGGCTCGTTTAGCACAGTTCAGCCACTGCTTCTGTGCTGACACGTATCGTGTGGCTGCCGTTCAGCAAGGCTGGCAGTGTGGCCTGTGGAGTATGTTCAGAGGGGAAAAAAGCCCTGCTGGTTTTGCCGATTGGAAGTGAGCTGTCATCTTGTAATGGCTTGCTGGAAACAAGGGATATGGAGTACATGTTACCGGAAATACTCATCTTGATGAGATGCAAGAAATACATGCTGTTGCATTTGGGCCCAAAGCCATTTTCATGTGATGGTACCTTATATCTGCTGAGAAAAATTATACAAGTTTAGGGGTAATCGCTTCAAGGCTGTGGCTGATGGTGCAGTCAAATGAAGTGCTCCTGAATCCTTCCAGATAAGGGCTGGTTTAAATAAGGGTCACAGTTCACCTTATGCATTGTTATATGAATAGATGGTTGTCCGAAAGTTGGGCACGTCTAACAGTTTCTGTTGTACTCAAAGATTTATTCCCACCGGGAATGGTGGGTACTAATGGCATTTAAAAATCCTCTGTTTTTTTTTTTTTAAGTGAATGGCAAGATAGTCAGAATGCTTCAGAAAAATGTGGCTTCCCTTGTGCATGGGAATGCTGTTTTTGGTGCAGGTTTGGTCATAGTGAGAGCTTCGGACTTTATTGCTTCTGTCCCATATGACAAATGTCATAAATTTGTCATAAAGACTTAGTCTCCAAGCCTGCTATAAACTAAAATTATTCAAATCTGAAGGCATTTAGGGTTTGGTGGTAGGGCTGGTAAAAATGTTTACAGAATTAGAATGCCTTTATTCTTGGTATGGGAGCGTGTTTTGTCATTCTGGCTTCACTGTTTGGCTGGTAGGTTTCAGATGTAAGTTATATTACAATAGTCTTTTGTAAGATGCTTAGCTGGTGCATTTAATTAGAAGCAAATATATACCTGACTCCAGACAGAGATAAGAAAGAAAAGATAGTATGTCCTACTTTTGAGTGCAAAATACCAAGAAATAGAAAATTTTGTTTAGTGTAGAATTGGAACACTACAGTGACAAGTAAGGGAATGTATGTGTTTTTCTCAGGAGCAGAAAAAAATAGAAACTTTAAAGATAAGGCATCTTTTTCCAGAAGCTAAGGTGAAAGAGTGGTAATGACTGCAGTCTCTTTGTACTCAGAATCATTGGCAGAAGACACCTTCAAGTTTCTTGCTTTAATATACTCTTCTGTTATATTTTAACAGAAAATATTTGGAAAAAAACAGTGTTTTTGTCCTCTACTAAACCACTTCAGTTACCGACTTCTTTGCAAAAGTGATGCATACAGTGTGGGGGTGTTTTCTCAGTAAATACGCAGATAATGATTCTCTTCCCTGCAAGAAGAAAATTGGGAGGCTGGTGTTCATAGTGTACCCTATACTTGAAGGAATAGTAGAGCTGTGTGTCAATCCCTTATGCTTTCAGTCTGGAAGAGGGATGGCAATCTCCACTGTTCAGTGGGAGCTTGTGTACATGGGAACGCATGTGCACCCATTCAGTTAAGAAGAAAGGAGGTGGGAAGAAGCACTTGTGTAAATGGTACTTGTGTGGCCTTGCTTTGAGCAGGGTGTTGGTCCAGATGACATTCAGGGTCCTCTCCATCCTAAGTTTTTTTTATGATTCTGAATAAAATATCTGTAAGAATTGAGCTAGTTAATTCTAGTTCTGAGGAACCTGGGTACAGATAATTAGTTTCTACATCACAAGAACCTGGAAAAACTGTCTTCAGTAATGTTTGTGCTGCATTTTTGTGATGGCTAATGAGCATGTGTTTGTATATATACATAAAATACATGGGTATACTCTTTAATTTTGTTTATGAACCTGGAGACAGGCAGTGACCCAGTTTGCTCAGATATGATACCATTACCATGGCAGAAGATCAGTAGAACTCCATTTAATGGCACTGCTTATAATAAAAACAATAGCTTAATAATTATCATAATAATGAATCATGAAAAGTAACTTTAAGGATTTCTTTATAGTGAAACTATTTGCTGTTAGAGTATTTTTCTGATGGTTCAAAAGAGCGAAACTGGAAGAGATGGATGGACTGCTAATTGACCAAATGCTGTCTCAGTTTGAAATCTGCTGAGGCTGAAAATGATGGAGATCATAAATCAGCAGGTAGCAGTCAGACTTGCATAAAATCAGCGGGCATTCTCCCAGTTTGTGCACGGTGACATAGAGCCCCACAGGTATTGAATGTTAAAAGGGTGCTAAGAAATAGCCACAGACCTAAGGAAGGATTTCAGTTGGCATCTCTTGGCCATCTCAGCATCAGTAGGCAGCCTGGAAATAGGACTCTTGTGTTGTTCCCCCATATCATTCCCCAAACTGGGTGCACTATATTTGTTCACCGTAAATAAATAGAAAGTTTTGATCAACAGTACTTGCACTGTAAAACTTCTTTTCACAAAAAGCTATGTTCAAGCAAAACCGTAGCATGAATTGTGTTTGAGCATTCATTTTCTTCCCTGTACTCTATTAGGCAAGCGGTGGTTAAAGGCTCCCTTCCACATCCTTTTGCTTTGACGCTGTTTGGGGACACGTTGTACTGGACTGACTGGAACACGCATTCGATCTTGGCCTGCAGCAAGTACTCCGGGGAGGACCTGCGTGAAATACATTCCAACATCTTCTCTCCCATGGATATCCATGCTTTCAGCCAAAAGAGGCAGCCAAATGGTAAGCTGTCTTGCTTTCTTTTTTTAACTGTAAGTTGGAACTGATTTGCAAAAATCTTAATTAATCTTTCTGTATGGCGGTGGGTGGCTTCACTCACGTCATGATACAATTTTTCCAATGCAGAGATTGGGAAAAGACCCAAAGAGAAACCAAATATTCTCTACATTGTTTTTTTAAGTTTAAAAAAAAAAATCTCTTGCTTTTTTTCTGCCTGCCACATTTGTCCTGTTGTATTCCTTTTTCTATTTCATGTGCCATAACTTTAGGCAACGTGGTATTTTTATTTTTTCCAAGTAGTAGTTCCTGAATGGAAAGTAGTGTTAATTTGGCAGATGATATTAAGCAAGACTAGTTCTGTGTAATAACCACTGTCTTAACCATTGTGTTAATTTACTGTGTTTGCATTTTGTTCTTATATATACAATCTACTATACATTCAGTACCGACATGCTGAATAGTTTGTGAAAATGAGAAGGGCAGAGCTGAAACAAGGCTCTTGTTTAGAGCTAAGTGTTACTTCCCCAAGAAAGGAAACGTTCAACATCCATGCATTTTGGTACCATAAATACTCCACTACTCAACACTTGGAATTAATTTTTCCTTGTTCTGTGTTTATCATTTCCTTCTTTAATCTGTGTTGCTGCCACCGATTCTACCACTCAAATGCCGTATGTGTCTTAACACAGGAGATGAGGTCATTCGTTATCAGAAGCATTAATCTGTGCGATTTATGTTTAACAGCTACAAACCCATGTGGAATTAATAATGGTGGCTGCTCCCACTTGTGTTTGATGTCTCCTACCAAGCCCTCTTATCAGTGTGCATGTCCCACTGGTGTGAAACTCCTTGAGAATGGAAAGACCTGCAAAGATGGTAGGCTTTGTTTTTAAAAATCCTTTTAGATTAAGCACAAAGTAGTTTTTGGAGGGAAAGGGGTTCTTCCAGCTTCACTACATAATGCATATTAGGGGTGGCAAATTATGGAATGATGCATGCTTTTGCAGTACAGATAAAAGTGATTGGAAAATGCCCTCTACTTTTCAAAAAACAAAGAGGCTTATGGCTGAAGAACAGGTTACCTCCAGTTACAAAATTTAGGTTGCAGTTCTGTCTCTCACTAATTCCCTGCAAGTTTTTGGGGGGCTCTGTTGTTCCATTTTCTTAGAGAAAATGATACCTACCTCCTCTGTTGTCTTTAAAATGTTTCTAACATTATTTTTCATGCATTTTTTCATGCATTTGGCTAATAGGATTGTACAATGAAAGCAATTCTTTTTTTTTTTTAAGATTAGATGTCCGTTTATTATATACACGTACACCCGGAATGTCTTTCAGTTCACATGGATAAAGTTAGGCACCTACATCTGTATATAGAACTGAAAAGAATGGCATAGTTTTTAGAGGTGTTGAAAGTGTTTCAGCCTTAAAACCCAAGATGGGATTGAGACTTAGGGCTGCTAGTGCTCACCCCAAACTGCTTTTAGTGTCTCATTGTGGGCTAATGTATATGATTTTAAGTTGTTATATTTTATAAGTATAGGTCTTGTGACATTGTGCTGTTGTTGCTGTAGTACATTAACAGGATCAAAATAAACACTGGGAGATAATTACCTCATTCATAAATAACCATCTTTTATGCAGATCACCTCTCTATGACAAAGGTGAATGGAGGAAGAAACAGAAAGAGCAGAATTTACTGTAAATAGGCTAAATAAAATGTGTACAGAAATAATTTTTGTTAAATTGTCATTTTATATTTTACAAATTCTTCTAGGCTTGTCAGCTACTGTTCAGTGTTTTCTTTAATTTCATGCTATTTCATGCTCTCTGCTGATTATTTTTGTGTGGCTATTTGTGTCTGTGTGAACCTTGTTGAAATAAATTGCTGCTTTTATGTGAAAAACTCAAGAGCAGCTCCCAAATTAGCCTTGCAGAATTATTTGTAAGAACTTACCAATACATGCACAACATGTTTTTCTTCCATTTCGCCAGCACAAGGAACAGGCTTTAATAATACTGCTCCAGGTTGGTCATTTAGTCAGAAATTCGTGTGCTTTTTTAAAAATACTTGATATGCTTGTGGCAGCAGATAGCTAAAGCAGTTTTTACCCAATACAGGCATGTTTCCAAAAGCAGTGCTACACAAAAAGTCCGTGTGGGGGACGGGGAGTGGTAGAAGGTTTGATCACTTGCCAAGCAAAGGTAGAAAGGTAAGGCAGCAGAGGCTGAAGTACTAAGCACAACAGTTGGTACAAGCCTTGGAGAGATCAAGAGAGAAATTGCTTCCCTTTGACTTACTGCTGATAGGAAAAGGGCCAGGAACTTCAGGCAAGAGGGGCTGTATCTTTTTGCTCCCTGTGTGCTGTGTTCCAAGGAACAGGTTGTTGTATCATAGAAGTGCTCGCTTCCCTGCTCAGGTTCAGCCCCGTGTCTTCATGGACCCAACCTACCACCCAGGTTAACTGCCCTGTGCTGAAGTGCTGAATGGCACCTTTCTAGTGTATCAAAGTAAATTACCAGAAGCAGGTAGAGGAATGGTATTTAAAAAAAAAACAAACCCAAAACCTTATTAAAAGGACTTTAACTTCTCATGCAGAGATACTCAAAATTATCAGTTCACTTTCTCAGCCATTCCTTATGTCTCAGAATTTATAGCTATTGCTCTTTTCTCCCACTCCCTGAACACATGAGAAGCCAAATTGTATGTTCCCAGTCAGCCATAAAGTATATTTGGCTCACAAAATACAGCTCCCATTTTATCAGAAATTTTGTTAATCAATTTACTACAGCATGTTGTCCATCTATATGCAAAAAACTTTATATAAGAACATTTATTTATCTTATGCTTGTTAATATAATGTTGCATTTTTAACCACCATTCTGCTATTGCATCTTTACAAAACACTCTGCCCCTCCCTTTTCAAGAAGAGAAATGGAGGGGAGGGGGGGTGCACACAGAAAACTGAGTCTGTGTTTATTTAGCTCAGTGAGTGTTGCATACCACTGCTTCTTGGACTTAGAAACGAGTTAGCATGTAACCCAAGTGAAACAACCTACTATGCATCAGATCCATTGATCTCACTTAACTTCGATGATCCCATGTAGAGCTAACTTCTGGGAGGAGTGTGAGGAAGCTTCAGGTTCAGCATTTAGAGCTGAGCTTACACCGAAATAATGAAATATTTTTGACGGTTTTTTCACTCTTCTTACTGAAGAGAGGTGCAGGTGGTAGGCTTATGGCTTTGGCGAGTGACGTACAACTTTCCAGAGCTCTTCAAGGCAGAGATTCACTGGAATTTCTTCTCGTACTTGTGAAGGCTGCAGTTATTGATTCAGGGAAGGGAGGAGAGCATGGCAGTCGAACAGAGCCAGACTAGCCACAGACCAGATTTCGAGATGTAAATCTGTACATGTTTGTGTGTTAACTACCTTTCTTAGGCTGCTCAGTGACCCTGGGGAAGTACATTTATTTTATTTTTTTCAGGTGTGTGGGGTGGGGGGTTGGTTGTGGTTTCTTGGGTTGTTTTTTTCCCTTTGTATTTGCCTGTTTACTGTATCTGCTGTGAAAACAGAGCTGAACCCTGAGAACTGAGCATTTTTACCTTGGATTGTTTCAGTATATATCTATTATGCCGCAATAGACTGAAACACCAAGTGATTAAATCTCTGTTTGCAATTAGAACATATATATGACTTTTGGGAAAGGAAGGAGGGGGAATGACTTACAGGTGAAGAAAGGTGAAAAATGAGGCTAAGAGTTTTTCTTCTTTAAGACCGTTCTGTCTTCTAGCAGTAGACTAAAATCAGACTGGTTCCTAAACCGAATTGTTTTATGCTGAAAGGAGCCTCTTTGAGGAGAGAACTCCATTTCATGCTGTGCTGATGAGAGCACCAGCCTGGACTGGAAAGATTTTGACGAGTGAATTTTGAGTGCGTGTTTGTGGTGTTTGCAGTGCTTTGGCATTGACAGATGATCCTTGCAGCCAAAGGTGAGGCTGGCTGACCCTCCCTGAGCAGTTTCCATGACAACCTAGCATTTTTGAATAATCTTGGTTTATAGGAAATCTTTTCCTCCCTCCCCTTTCTCCCAGTGTTACTTTCTCTGTTTTTTGTAGGTTTTTTTTTCATCACACCTTAGAGGAGTTTTACCATTTCTTGTGAGGGCTATGAATAGAATACACCCCCCCCTTCCCCCCCCCCCCCATTTAGAAACACTTCTCCGTAGTGTTTCAGGAAAGGGTGATAACTTGGAATAAAATTAGCTATTTTTCTAATAACTGATAATACTGGCTGGTTGTTCATGTCTTAATTTCTATTCCCCTTACAAAACAAGACATTTATTTAACTGAGATCTGGGCTTGTAGCAAGCTCTTGGCTACCCCATTGTCTAGGTGAAGGTTTGTAAATCCCTGTCCCTCAAAGAAAAGAGAGGCAGAATAAGCAGTTTTCATGGCCAGCTATTCCTCGGTCAGTAATGTCCGAAGCAAAGACTCCTATTTGAGCACCCAGGTACTTCTACCAGGGGGCTTTTACCTACTGTTGTCATATTCTTGATAATTTATTGTCCTCTTCTGCAGGACATACTGGGATTTCTTTTTTTCAGTGTTATAGGCACTGCTGTTCTGAGTTTGGCAGTGCTACGTTTAAATGACCTGTTTGATAGTCATTTTTATAAGAAAATTTAGGTTTGTCTTACAAGTTTGTCATTGGAGTTACATTCTTATTAGTGCTCAAAGATCTCTCTGTGCATGTGCTCAGCTTCTGACTTTGCCTGTAGTGAATTTTACTTATTTCCCACATTTGCTACTACCAGTACAGATTGTGGTTTGTACTGAGAAAACCAATGGTGACTTCAGCTGAGCAAGGAGATGCGAGTTTCCTCATGAAGAAAAAGCACTGCCTCAGACTTCCATTTCAGCCTTGCTTTGGCCATTCTGTTCTCTTCCAGGAAAAAAGTCTTTATTTTGCCCATGGATGCTCTCATCTTATTTCCTTTGTAGGCCTGGAGGCAGTAATCAGAAATTTGCACTTCCTTTTGCAATTCAGGGCTGCCCCATGGGAAATGTGCTTTGTCAGGAGTAGCCAGAACCCTGATTTGACTGCACAGATCAAGATGTTAATTTAACACCCTAATTCTTTCATTTCTTTTAAAGGAAAGAAAAAATCTATGATTAATTTCAGATACATGTCCTTTTGCCTTTGCAGTTTTAAGGTTGAGCTTGCCTAGATGAAAAAGTCTTGTTTGTATTATAGTATCAAAGGCTCTCTGACAACAGCAACTTTATAATTGGGGAAAGACATTTAGGAAAGAAATCTTTTAGTCAAATGTGTGGTAATTCTATTGAGGATGTGTTAACAATCTTGATTTCTCAGATACAGAGAATGCATTGTACGTGTTCTAGGTCTAGCACTTCTTATGTATGAATTCCTGAGCGTGTGTTTGTGTAGCTGTACTAGCCTCAGCAACCACTGATGGTTTTTAAGTTCAATAACTTATAAATGACTGAGGTCTGTATATCACTGAGAAGATGTAATTAATTGTAAAGGTTAGCAGTGCATTAGGCATTGGACTTTAAAGCTACGCCGTTGCATGTATCTGCATGCTTGCTCTGTTTCCGCTTTTCTCCCCCTTCCCTTAACTTCAACTAGCACATAGATTTAAATTATTTTGATTTTTAATACTGACTTTTTGAGGAAAGTATTAGTTCCAGGACTAATGTAATGTGCCATCCGTGAGCTTGTAATCCCAGCTTTCGAAGTGCTTAATAAAAGTAGGCTAAAGCTCTCAAAAATAAGAGTTTGGAGTAAAGCTTTTGTGTCCATATTTAGACATCTTAAGTAAAGGACTTGATTTTAGAAAAATTGCTAACTATCCTGAATACCCCATGACTTGAGGCACTGCTAAAAAGAATCTTGAACTTTGTCCCCAATTTGAATAATTTGGGAGAGTTTTTTTTTTAAATAAGTTATGGGTTGCTAAGATCACTTATGATTGTGTGGGAGATCAGCAAGGGGGGTGAGCAGAGGACCTGACTTTAAATATGGGACAGCAGTGTGCATACTCTGCCTGCAAGTATTTGCATCGGAACTTTGTGCACCATGGTTTGAAGGCTGTGAGCACGTACCCCCGCACCTGGTGGTCTGTGCCCTCAAACCCAGCGCTGTATTTGAGATGTGCTTTTGTCTACAGGCATGCTTGTGTTCGGTGCAGTAGAGAGAACCAGTAGTTAGAGAGAAGACAGCAGCATGGCCAGTAAACTCTGCTCCAAATCCCCTGTCTAGGCCAGTCCGTCCTTGCACGTGCAGTCCGAGGTGTCTAGGGGAGAAACTGCCTGAAGTCTGCACATGCATGCTGAGGGCAGAGCTCTGGTTGCAGCCTTGATGCACCTTTTGAAAGCATTTGAGCCAGCTGAGGTTTGAGGCGTTTTATATGTTCGTGGCTCATTCCAGTCTCCCAGTCAGTGCTGCTAAATTGAAAAAAAAGTTATGCTGGCATGCGACCTGCATTGTCTTTTCCTGCCTTTTCATTCTTTTTTTGAAATACAATTCCATACCCATGATGTTCTCCATCATGCTCATCATTAGAGGCAGGGTTTCTCTTGGAGAGGCAGAGTGAAGAAGTCTGGAGATCCTGCTGTCACATTTTAGCTTTTGCATCGTAACTGGTCTTTGGAATAGAAGTGAACAAAATTAATTGATTCTGTTATGTTCTGGCAACCTTGAGTACCTTGAGCAATCTTCTGACTGAGTGGTGATCAGTGCCTACCCAGGTAAACTTTGTGCAGCTGGTGTTGCCACAAGTGCAAATTGTTTGTTTTAGTTTTGAGACTGCCTTTTTTTCTTGACTGCTATCAAGGTGGTAATGGGATCAGTCCATAAATGTGCCCAGCTCTTGTATTTGCAATTTTTTGCTATTGTCAGGACAAGCCTTCTGAAGGCACTCAGAGTGATCTTTCCCCCAGCCTACCATGCTTCGCTGCTACTCCCTGAACAGAATCGCTGGTGATCTAACTAAGCAGCTGAGGTGTCGGTTTGCAAATGGGTGGGTAATAGCTCTAAAGTAAGCTTTAAACTTTTTATTGCTTGGTTGGAGGGCTGGGGGGTGGTGTTTTAGTGGGGGCTGGAATGTTAGCCAAGCCCGCAGAATAAAGACCATGAAATTCTTAGCTCAGGGATCCAGAATGCAACATGGGTTAGCTGAAAGCCAGTCATTTCCTGGTGCTGAATTAAAGCTTAGACAGAGTGAGTTATTTGACTAAAGAACAGTGTTGCAACCCACAAGCAGGATTCTGAAGCTGTTGAAATGAGTCGTCTTTGAGAAGAATTGGAAGGTCAGTTGGTCAATTTTAAGGGTGAGTTTCAACAAAGGCATGGTTGTACTCAACTCAACTGAGTTTTTCTGGGGACCTGGCATTGGTTCTTCAAAATGACTGTCAACTTCAGCTAGAGCACACAAATTATTTTTAAATTATGCCTTACACTTTTTCTATATATGGTAGACTATATATAGCTTTCTAACTGTTTAGAAATCTGAGGTTAGTGCGTTTGCTCAACCTTAATTTTACTAGATAATGCAAAAAGGTATTATTGTTTGAGTTTTTTAATATGATTTTCATAGTTTTGTTTAAAAGGTAAAGTGGATAAATGACTGTGAAGTTGGTGAGAAAGTACTGGAGATTTCCTTCTTACTTGAACCTAAATAGTTGGGGTTAGTTATGTATTAATACTTTATATGACCATAATGCAGCTGAATGCTTGGGTCTTGATGCTGAATTGTTTGATATATTTAGTAGCAACAAATACAGATGTACATATAGACTGCTGTGACAAGATTAGTTGCTTCTGTAATTACAGAAAAATCTTACTAACATGCCTGTTTTCCATTTACTATATCACATGCTTAACATTATTTTGAAGGATGCATAGACATGTAATTACAGGTTCCCTCTTCCTGATATTAATTAATGCATAAGAGTTATTCACTAGAAGAACAATAGAATAGTGTGTACATGTGTTTCTGAACACAAGGTGTTTTAGGACAGAGGATCCCAAAGTTGATCTTAATCCATTCTGGACTACCAGTCAGGAGCACTTGTAATGATATTCTCAACTTCAGTTGTTGAAAGGTGCTGTTTCTTGCAGTGCTGTGAAAGTGTCTTAGATGTTTTTAATGTGTTAAACTTGCTGTAAATGAAGCAATGGCTGCTTTGGCATCTCTCCAAAGTTTGGCATGCAGTGAGGTTTCATCTAGCACCAACAACAATTACTGACTTTTTTTAAAAAGAAATTGGGCATCAGACACCAAAATTCGTTTTTCATCAGCGACCTACTTGCTTTAGTTGTTGCTCTTTTAGTCTTCTAGCCCTTATTTATACCTCTATAAGATCAAGACATGGACAGAATGTGGCTTGGCGATGGCTCTTTTTCACTGCAATCGTGATGCATTTATTTTCCTACCCTCGCCTCCTCCCCTCGCCTCCTCCCCTCCTCCCCCGCCTTCTGTCTTCACACCTACATCAGTCCCTGCCAAATCCTTTCCTCTCACTGTTTGAGGAGAGCCATTGCAACACACTTTCCCTGCATTTAGGATGCACACATTTTTCACCTTAGCTCAGGCTTCCCTGAGGCCTGAGTTGCTCTTATCTTCCTGAGACTCCAAACTGATAAGCCAATTTAATTGGAATGGGGTGTGGTGGTTGTTTATCCTTCATTACACTGAAATCTAGTGACATAGAATAGAAAATGAAATGAGAATGAATTAGAATAGGCAATAAGTACATCTGTCATTGATCAGATGCCCAGCACGTGTACCATTAAACAGCTTGTGTTGCCCTATGTGAAAACATCTTCCGCAGTGCAAGCTGATCTTACTTATTTATTGTCATTCTGACTTTTGACCTAAAAGCCAGCAAGGCTTTTGTATGTTTCAGCTCAAAAGGACTTTATAAGACACACTGTTACTTATCTTCATGTATTCAATAAGCTTATTCTCAACAAGTATGGGAGAAGCTGACAGCCCTGCTTTGTGTGGTCACTGGACAGTTGTCAGTTCCCAAATCTGATTCCTCTGATAGGAGTTTCTCAAAGGAGATTTACTTATGGCATTCTGAGTTACATTTTTCCCCTTCTAAGGGTGTTGTTGAAACGTGCAGCTTGTTTGTCGTGATTGTCCCCTATACCAACAACAGCAAACAGTCCATAAATTATTTATATAATTAATTTTTCATCTAAGAGGCTGCAGGCCATGTTGATTTGCATAAAATAGCAGCATAGTCACTGTGTATCTGGTTTCGGTACCTTTGGAGGGAATGATAAGGATAGAAAACATGTCCAACATAATACCTTTTGGACAAGCAAGTGACCACTGAATTTTCTCTATAAACACATCTGACTTGTTCTGCAGAAGAGTAACCTCACATTTGAAGCCTTTGAGTGGAACTCTGTGCTGGTGCCCATCAGTTTAGTTAGGTCCTGTGAAATCAAGGAAGCTAGACTAGCTTGTACCAAATGGTGCAGAATTAGGTTCACTATTTACAGGCTTACTGTACAGTGTTTGTAAGAAGGTTGTGGTTTTGTCTTGTTTGTGTAGGTGCCACTGAACTGCTGCTTCTAGCCCGCCGGACAGATTTGAGGCGAATTTCCTTAGACACCCCAGATTTTACAGACATCGTTTTGCCACTGGAGGACATCCGTCATGCCATCGCCATTGACTTTGATCCTCTGGAAGGATACATCTATTGGACCGATGATGAAGTTAGGGCCATCCGCCGCTCATTCATCGATGGGTCAGGTAGTCAGTTTGTCGTCACAGCACAGATCGCACATCCTGATGGCATTGCTGTGGACTGGGTTGCCCGCAATCTGTATTGGACTGACACTGGCACAGACCGTATTGAAGTTACAAGGCTTAATGGGACCATGAGAAAAATCTTGGTATCAGAAGACCTGGAAGAACCCAGAGCTATTGTGCTGGATCCCATGGTTGGGTGAGCAGCTGTTCATGAGCATTTTTTAAATATTAGTCATGTAAAGAAGACACCTCTGTCTACCTGTATGCAGATGTGAACTGTCTACCTGTATGCAGATGTGAACTGTCTACCTGTTTGCAGATGCAATGATAAACTTCTGAGTCTTCATAATGAAAATACTGGGATTCTTTGAAAGTTAAGGCCCTGAGGCAGAGGGACTACTGCTTCCCTTTGACTGCTTGGCTAGTCATCTTATGTGTCTTTAGGTTTTATTCTCCTGTTTAAAAATATTTTTGGGGACTGTGTTGATCTGTTTGTTTATTGTAACTAATAGCACTGGTTATGTTGTCTTGCTGAGCAGCCTGATATAGGAGTTTTGTGTAAAGGTACAATGTGTTTACACGTCAATGCTTTCTGAATGGTTTGGGCATCCTTACTTACGTAAGGAAATACATTTGGCTTAGAAATGTACTTTTCTGTGTGCAGTGTGGTTTCGGGGAACAGTAGTCCAGAAGAAGCTATGTGAATATTGAAAGTTTGGATTAATAAGAGTTCCTAAGATTTTGTTTCCTTTGCAGGTACATGTACTGGACTGACTGGGGAGAAATCCCAAAGATCGAGAGGGCAGCATTAGATGGCTCAGACAGAATTGTGCTGGTGAATACCTCGCTTGGCTGGCCAAATGGACTGGCATTGGATTATGCAGAAAGCAAAATATACTGGGGAGATGCCAAAACGGACAAAATAGAGGTTTGTAATTGCACCCGTGTTTTTAATTCCATGGAGTTATGGAAGGTAGCTACTCTACTTTTCCAGGTGTTTAAATTCTGATATAGCCCAAAAGGGCAATGGGATAATGGTTGATTTGTGCTTTAAGAAACAATTCAGTTTCTTCTCTGTCTTTGGGCAAGTCACTCATTATTCTTCCTCCATTTTTCTGTGTGTAAAATGGAAGCAATATCCATATAGTAGATCCCTCTTTTTAAGAATGTATGATAAGGATTTGTTAAATAAGTCAATTCTTAGGTCATCAGGAAAAAAAGCTTCTTAGTGGGAGTAATGTTTGTAGGTTAAATTTATCTTTCTTTCTTTGCGCTGCTCAGCTTAGATGCTAGTAGAATATAATTTAAAGAAATAAATCTCATTTCACATATAATTATTTGTACTTCCACAAATCCTTTATACTTTGCATCTCCCTTGTCTTATTAGGATTTCAGCGAGGGGATAGATTTTTCCTTTCTTTCTGGTATGTTCTGCTGAAACTTTTAATTGAAAACAAAAATGCCATTTTTCTTCTCTCCCACCTTGAAAATCTTGTGTTTATTTTTTTGTATAACATTTATGGAACAAATTTGACATTTATTATCTCTTTGTCAGTCTTTGAGGAAATAGTATTGTTTAGTATTTGTTCAGTTTACTATCAAAAGACAGAAGTTTATCTGGAAGCAGGAGACCTGGCTATTACCTGGTACATAGTAGCAGCATCTACCTTTGCTATATCCTGGTAGCTTTACCTTTCTTTTGATGAATTATAGCTTTCCTTAGTGAATCCTTACCATTGCAAATAATTTTCAGCACTTATCATATTAGGCACAATATCTTCTCTAGCCTTATGAAATTGTTTTATTTATTTATAACTTAAATAAGTCAATGTGAAGTCATAGTCTTGTGCTGGAAGGTCACACAACTGTTCTCCTTCAGAGTCGAAGTAACTCCAGTCCTGCAAGGTGAGTTGCTTTGAAGCACTCCTTGAGAGAGCTTCAGGGAGCGCAGTTTTTTGTCCAGAAAACAAGATTCATAGTCTATAATTCACCTAACATTATACCAGCTCTGAGGAAAGAGGGGAAAAAGAGTCTTAGCTATGCTTAGATTTATTTATAACAGATTGAGCACTTCAGCCCTGATACTGTCTTGGACTTGAGTGTATTTTGCAAAAGGAAAGTTAGGCATTCGCCACTCTCATGCTTGCCAAAACACTGAGATTTTTTCATGTGCTTCAGTCTTACTCAGACCATGGTTCCGTATTCATTAATAATGATTCTGTTCAGTGCTGGATCTGTTTGTGGTAGAAATTTTCATCTAGACCAGGCATGAGCTCACTGCTGCAATTCTGTCAAACTGGCTAGAACACATGATACAGTGTTTATGCCAACATTACAATGTCTGTGGCAGGACAGAAGATATCTGATCTGGCACAAAGTCTGCTGGGACAATTTCCATTTCATTGTTTTTAAACCAACGTGAGCCAACAGAATGAGTTTGTTCCAGGTTGTCATGTAACATCTATGCAGGGCATCAGAGAAGATTTATCATCTTAAGGTTTCAGAATTACTAGTTATTTTTTTCCTATGAGGTTCCAAGTGTGAGTTATGATTTTACTGCTGCTGCTTTTTATAAAAAGTTAACATTTGTTAACTCTTATCAATGTGCAGAAAATCTTGAAAAAGCCTGGCTAACACCTTTAAAGCAACAGAGAAGAAATTATCCCACAGCTTTTCCTTTGGTGTTTTTGGATTTTAGTTTTGAGGATTTGGGTGGGTTGTTTTTTTTTTATTGCAGAAGGTGTTAATTTAGGGGTATGTGACAGAGATCTATAAAATCAAGAAAGTTATGTATAAGGTAACCAGGACATCCCCCCACACACCTTTTTTGATAGAAGAAATTGGTGTTCGTAAATGATACTGGCAGGTGATGGGTGCAAAACAAACAAAAGCAGATGGTTCTTCGAACAGTGTGGTAAGTTGTGGAAATGGTTGTGGATGTCAAAAGCTTACATGTGTTACTGGGAAGACTGGGTAAGTCTGTGGAAGGGAATTGCACTGCAGTTTAGTAGAAAATAGAATTGCCTTCTGAACCACAAATCACTGAACTGTAAATTGTTGTAGAATGAAAAAGGCGTCTTGAAAAGTTTTCAGTATGTATTTGCTTTATTATGCTGTTCTGTAAGTGTAAGTTTTGATTAATCTCCGAGACAGGATACTGGGATGGGTGGACCTTTGGATTGAACCCATACAGCCTCTCACTTTTCCTGTGTTGAGGCCATTCTATTCCTTGAAGGTTTGGGGAGTCTTTATTCTCTTAGCTTGTTGCATTAGCTTTAGGAAAAGCTTCATGTTCTTCCTTAGATGTAATATTGCTGCTTGCTAACTGCACTTCAGAGGGGCAGAAATGGGTTGAAAATCAATGACCTCTGATAGTGATAGATCAGAGTATGAGTTCAGTACAGTTTCTGTAATTAGTAAAGCATGGAAAGGCTCTATAGGATGAAGAGGGTGTTCATCCAAGAGAATGGTTCAGTCTAAAGTAGATTCCCCCCTCCCTCCCCTCCCTCTCCTCTAACATGCTAAGTAATGCAAATGTAGCAGTGAGTTTCTTTACTGATGAACCTTAGTGAATTTTCCCCAGGATCTTGTGTGGCCTCTCTGTAATCTTTTATGAGATTGACTTTGTTATGGTAGGCTACAGAAATCTCAGGCTGCAATGACACTATCTAAATCTATGATAGCTAAAATATTACTAACATTTCAAATCTTCCCTTTTCCTCCCACTGCCTTTCTCTCCTATGGCAACCATGAATCCTGAGGAGATTTGTAACACTTTCCCAGCCCTTCCCATCCACTTTTTGTATCAGTTTAGTAGAAGATGCTTTGACCTTCAGTAAATGTTTTAAACTTACATTTGGAGAAAGGACACTGGAGGAGGTGCAACAAAAAGGATATTTGTGACAGGATCAAAAGATGAAACTTGGAATTGGACATGAAGACATCAGAATATATGCCTGGTCCCTGCTTCGCTTGTGTGTGTTTGTATGTATTTGGGAGGAGGGGTAAAAGCAGGATAAACACATTTGTGTACTTGCACTCTATTGCCTTTAGGTAGTTTTTCATACATGATTTTACATACCTTGTGCTTTTTTCCCTTTGTTTTTAGTATGTGGAATTCCTCAGAACCATTATTTAACTGTAGCGCTACAAAAATGAATGTTTCTTGCAAGCTATATTTCTGGTTTGTTTGTGCTACGTATGAGCTTTTATTATTTATTTTTTACAAACTGATTCACGCTATGCTGTTCTGGAGCCCCCAGATGATAATAAAGCATCAGCAGGGGTTAATGGAGACTGGTAGGGGGTACAGCAGGGAGCTTTTGTTCCCATTTTATCTGGCAGCCTGCAGCAGGCAGAAGCAGGCTGTGGCTCAACAGCTTCCTCATTTATCTCGGTCAGGTTTCACTGCTGATAAACTTCTATTGAAATGGATGGCTGCTATTGTGCTTACCAGTAGGGAAGATTTCTCATTGACTTGCTACAGGTTTAAAGCATTTTCCTGCCGTGCTATGAGGTTAAAAATGTATGATCTGCTCTGTTGAATTGTTCTTATGTTTTCCTGCTCAAGTGAGTATTTGTCTTCTGAGCACGTACGCTACCTGTTTTAAGGCATAGGTTGGATTTAAAATGGCCAGGAAAGCTCGTATTGATAAAGCAATTATAAATGGCTGCGTGCATGTGTGGATGTGTGCATTAAGAGGAAATAATGATGATATGGCTGATTTCTCACAATTTTTCAGTCTTTGCTTCATTTTTCTTTATTCATCTTCTTTCCTATTCTCCATTCTCAGAGCCAGAGATGACACCCACTTACACCTACTAGTGGTGAGTTTAAAGAAAGGACTCTCTGCCTCCTATACAGATCCAACCATTATCTAGTGATTTTTTTGAGTGCAGCTCTAACTTGAAGTGTTTCTGCATTCCCAAATCTATTAGCCGTGCCTGGCATTACTCTCTCTAATCCTCATGATTAATATGGAAAGTCTTATATCCTGCTGTTTTTCAGCGTAAGTACACACAAGTCTTCAGAACCCAGCCTTGTCGGACAACAGAAAGCGGATGCTGCTAAGACTTTTTTGAGCACAAAAATCTTGAACAGAGAGGACCTTTTTGTGTTTGACCCAGGAGCTAATAGCTTGGCATCTAGAGAATGCTCTAATTCATATTCTAATCCTGAAATTGCAGGGCTACATTTTCCTCCGATGACAACTTCCTCAATTTTACCGCCACCCTAATAAGGAAATTTTGTTTTCTAAGCATTCACCATTTATTGTCCAACTGAGAAATTTTGCTCATAGCATTAGTCTTTGTATTGTGAAATGCTGATGACTTGTAAGCCTGATTACTGCTCCTACCTCATCCACTTTTAGTTTGAAGCAGAGGTTTGAAAACTGAGAAACAGAAACCATTGAATTCCTAGCTGTTGAACACAGCTGCTTTTGTGTACTTCCATTAAGCTTTTGCAGGTATGAGAAGTAAGGTAGTTGAAACAAATATTTGAAGTTACTTTACTGTTTAATTTTGGCCACAATTCATTATCCATCTGGTTTGGATAGTTGTGGCACTTGGGAACTTCGTTCAGCACAGAACAACACGTATGTGCTGCAGAGGGTAGGAACAGATCCCTCTCCGCCATCCCAGTTTCAGAAATTTAAAGCTTACTTTGTCGGAGAATTTCCAGCTATTTCTTAATGCCCGCTAGGCCTGCATTAAGAAAAATTACAGATTTTTGAAATTAGTAGTAGAGTAAAGGCTTATTTTTTAAAAAAAAAAATTAGTTTATACTTTGTATAGTTTCCATTTGGGAGGTTTCTTTTGAACTTCTGAATGAACTTAGGGAAGAATTAAATTTCACAATGCAGACTAAGACAGGAAAACTATATTACAAAGCAAAAAAATGACGGTCATATACCGCATATTAGTAAA